TTTTACTAATCCATTTCCTTATTATTTATGATAAAGATGACAGACCCTTATTAGATGGTTTTAAGCTGCTTAAAACAATATTTGGGATTGACATAATATGTTGAATAAGAAATGTTGATTTACACAGATGAATGACATTCTAATTATGCAGAAGACATCTAATGGATGTACAATATGTATGTGAAAAAAACCCCAGTAGAAAATGGTTGAATTGACAGAGAAGATAATTATAAAAGGAGAAAAGTTTGGTTCTAGACTAAAATTTTGTCTTGTTTATATTAATCATGGTGCAATTCACTCATTCTAGCAAATTTACATAAATACATGTAATAATACAAAATATACGGGGGTAATAAAAAATGTTTTTCATTCTCCACAAAATTTTCAATACAATATTTACAGGTTCTGGAATATAAATATGTTACCAGATTAGTTTATCTACCCGGTGCTTTTTTCATATTCTATTATTAATGTACCCCATGTACCAATATTTTGGTTTGGGCAAATAAAGTGAACTCAAACTTGACCTACACACATGTAAGAGTTATAATGAACCATTGCAAAAACTGACATGATCATGCAATGCTTCTCTGCATGATCTCTATATTGCAAAGCTTTAACATAATTGCTTGTGCATAAGTTAACTTTATTTTAAATTTGCTACCATTTGGTTTAAAATTATTTCTATACAACTACCTCTATTAATTCAAAGAATTTGGTAATAAATGTATTTGCATGCCTATTGTAAACATACCAGAATTACATTTGGCTATGTATTCTTTTTAGCAGCTTAAGCAGATAGAAACTTCTGTTAATTCAAGTACAATGCTAAATGTCTTACATATATATGTACATAAATAAGAACATTTTGAAATGTACTAAATCAGAACTGTGCCAACTTTTCAACAATAATTTTTTGCTAAAATTGTATATGCTAAATATAATACATTTATGCATACATACATACTTCAGTGTGTAAACTTTTAAATCATAAAAAAATCTTTTTATTATGATTAAAATAGCCAGTATGAAAATGAATATGACAGTAATAGACCTTAACTCATTGATTTCTTGTCAATGATGCTCATGTACATGTGTAAATTTTATCTGTACAGTACCTACAATGTGTGTTCAATATTACTTAAAAGGATTATTTATACCAGGGGTATTCTTTATTTCACAGAAATATCTTGCATGGCTTACAGATTCTATAGCTATAGAGGTTGGTAAAATTTTCTTAATAATTTTCAAGACATGAGAATTTCCATAATACTAATTGTAAAGTAATCTGTTTGGAATCTATATTTACAGCTGTTTAGAAAGCTAAGGATTTTCAGATAGTCACATTCATAAATTTATATTGGAATATTTATTGTTTTTTTTTTTTTATATTGGAACAGTGAATACATGTATGTGCCAAAGTTCACTGTTCAAGTACTGTTAATTTAATTTAACAAGAAATTATTTCAACATTTAAAGTGCAGTCAAATTTCATTATCTCAAACTTGACTTAACATATTTGAGAGAGATGTATTAATGTTCCAGCTAGTAAAGTTAAATTGATATGGAAACTTGGTGTAAAGATGCTAGTTGACTGTTGAGTACCTGTACAAATTATTATTTTTTTGTAGGTGACACAGACTCGCGTGGGGTCAGTTCATCCCTGGCCCCTGAACTGGATGATTCCAATGTTGAAAAAAAGTGAAGTGAGATCTCATCTGAAGAGTGTGGGGTGGGCAGACAAATCTTTGGAAGAGGTGAGTAAATATTTCATAATTTTAATGGTTTATGTAAAAAAGTCTACTGGAAAATTATTTTTTCCCCAACAACATCAGTCTGGATTTTTGTAAGCATGCAGAGATTAAAACAGATTGAATTAATTGCTTAACAAGGATGTAACTATTCAAAAAATTACACACTATATTGAAATTGATGTAAAAGACCAGGAAGTCTCTGTGAAAATTCATCAGCATCCATCAAACATACATTTTTACCATGTAAAAAGAGGCATAATTATATGGATTTTATCGAAATGCAGCATTTTGATAAATTAACAGTCTTTGCTTTTTACATTTTCTCCGCATTTGTTATTTAAATTTTGGTTCACTGTACCTATAATGCATGTATTTAGTGAAAATAAAGAAAACCCAAAAAAAGAGCAAGAGCCACTTTGGCCCTTATGTAACCCTGAGAATTTCTGTAAAATCCAAACCGATCAGTTAAGGTTGCAAATGCAGTATTTATCAATTGGAGTGCTGGTGACCACGTATCTATTAATTGTGTGACGAAATTTCTCATCTAGTCTATGCATTATGACGTCATAAAATGCATCATTTTCCACATATCCTGTAAATTCCTTTGAAATGACCTAAAGCTGAAGCATTTTTTCAATATTTCATATAGAGCACAACCTCTGATCCAAAATATGCAAATACATAATGAAAGCTCTGTTTCTGAAGATCAAAAAACATGTTTTATTTTTTGGATCGTGGGCTGTGCTTATATTTTAATTCTTTGCTGAAGGTAGTCAAATACGCATGTTTTCTACAAATTTCAAGAACATTTCAATTTCTCAAACCTGTTTTCCAATATCTGGATTCTCAAAACGAAATTTTGTTATAGAATGTGAAAGCACCAAGTGTCTACTTTATTTTGATACTAGTATATAAAATGGGAAAGAGGGTGATAGTTAATTAATTGATATAAGTACAGGGCCATTTTATGCTTAAGATGGCTCTTGCTCTTACAGTGTATATATAATGAAGACATTTTTTCACATTAGCACTGCCTAAACTTAATCAGCAAAAGAGGAAATTATGTATTGTCTTTAAATTTTTATCAGCTTAAAATAGTTCTTTTTGTTTGTTCGTGAAGCTTGGAAAAAGGATATATCATTGTTACATAAGAATAATAACAGATATGAAACTTTTATCACTGATATCTAGATTACTTTCTGAAGTGAATTTATTATGGCAGGTTTTGGGTGAAATCAAGTCTTGTTGCCAAGCCTTGTCCGAGAGATTAGAACAGCAGAAATATTTCTTTGGAGACAGGTATGTGACTTGAAAATAAAATGAGTTTCTAAGAACATCCAAAAAAAAAATCCAAACTTGTCAATACCAAATGAATAATGATTTCATGCGATTATGCAACTTTACCAGACAGGTATTGATGATTTATTAATAATGTGCATGATGCAACAGTATAAAATATAATTGTAATTTTTTGACCAATTGTGAAGTATTTCGTGGAAAAAAGGAATTGCTGCAAACACTGCTGAATCATTTAATTTTGGAATTAATCAGTTAATCATTTTGGCATTTCATGTTTTTTAATTTTATTTAGCTCTTGATATTGTTATTTCAGTCCAACAGAATTAGATGCCCTGGTTTTTGGACATCTCTTTTCTCTTCTGACCACGGCCCTCCCTGTTGACATAGCAGAACACATTAATGAATTCGAGAATCTCACAGATTTTTGTCAAAGAATAGAAAACAAGTATTTTAAAGAAAAAGAAGATGATTGATTTTCTGCTTGAATATATATGTAAGGTGAATGAAAATTGTGTTTAAATGTTGTAATTAAATATGTTGACTACTGAAAGATATTACATCTGATTCTGTGTCTAGCTTTGAACATCTGTTTTTGTGTGTGTTTGTACAAAAAGAACACAAAGTATATTTAAACTATAAAATTCTTTCCTTGGTCATTAGTATGGGAAATAATTTTGAAGCATTATTTTTCACAGAAAAAATACATAACCTGCATAAGTAGATTATGTAATTTTTTTTCTGCGATAGCTGCAACATTAAACCCCATACTAACAAAGAGAGACATTTTATTGTTTTTATTTAAGTCTGTATAAACGCAAAATTTTACAGTTGGATTTATGATACATAAATTGATGTTACAGCTGTATTTTAATTCAGGAAACGGATTTAGTTGAAAAAAAAATGTTTTTCAGTATGATTGTGCTTATAGAATGGAAAGTCTCTACATTACTTCTCTGACTCTTCATTTAGCAGAGGGGTGCCTATTCTATTTAGAAAGGGGTTAGATATAGATATGATAAGTATTCATAAGAGCAATGATGGCAGAAAACTAATGGTTAATATTGATGTTGACAATGATACACATAGTTTGATTAACATTTATCTGCCAAACAAGGAAATATCCAGGGTCAATTTTTTTAAAAGAAAGAAAAGATTTATCATAAAATATTCAGCCAATGTAAGTAATATCATTTTATATGGATATTTTGATTGATAATTAATTTAATTAATTATGATACAAGTTCAAAGGTTTTAATAGAAATTCTAAGAAATATGGAATTGAAAGATCTCTATTGAAGAAAAATATGCAAACCCTAATGGATACACATGGTGTTATGCAAATAACATTCCAAAGAGTCGCACTGATTTCATTTTTATTAGTTGAACTCTGTTGACGAAAATAAAACAACTTTGTCTCCATAGAATTCCGGTACTCATAATAACGGCATCAGAATGTCAGATCATAGAATATTAAAATTTAATTTTTCAATACATACTAGTAATAATGAGTGGGGAAGGGGATACTGGAAACTTAATACTTCACTTTCAGAGTGTAATGAATATAAATCCTATGTTAATAAATTGATAAAAGATACAAGTGAAAGAGAAGGCACGTCAATTGATAAATGGGGGTCCTTGAAACGGTTGATCAAGGGGAAAAAGGTCTGCATAAACCGATGCATTAATGCACAAATGATTGAATAATCATTTAAAGTAAGATTAAATACATGCAGGTTAAATAAACACACCTATAATGAAGTGCCAAGGATTGGGGTTTTTGCTTTTATGTAAACGTACATGTATTTTGTTATATCCATCAGCTTCTCAGTATGTTTAGCATACTAATACCCCCAGAGAGTAAAAATCAGTTTACTATAAGCATTCATAATTAATTAACCTCGTTTTACTGTATATATATTGATATATACGTCATTGTATGTTTCATCGATGGAAGAACCACAAATAAAGAAATATACACATGTGGTATGTTAAATGACCTTTTTACTGATTGATAAATGACCATGGTTTTCTTAAGAAATAAAGGAGATAAATATTTATTGTACAGTGTATGTAAAAAATATATAAAAGTAAATATTGTGTTAATACAACATTAAACATGTTCCAATAAATAGGTTTTTGGCAAAATAATTTAATTGATAAATTAAGGAACTCAAAACCCCACTCTGATTTGTAAATGCAAATACATGTAGGAGCAAATTAATAATAATAAATGAAAATATTTTTCCCTGTAATGTGGTAACCAGTTAACAATACATTGTGGTCCAATTCCACAATGTAATGACTCGAAAAGAAAAAAATCACCACATTTACATTGTGGTCAAATCATTTAGAATGCACCAGACTAGACGGAAGTACGCATGTAGGCGTACCTATATCATTACTGGTATAAGTGCCAGTTGTGTGTTGGGGGGGGGGGGGTAGCGTAAGACAAATTGACAGAGGTAGAATGTGCAAAATTCATGACATTTCATTTTCAGTAAGTATATCAAAACGCTGATGCAATACATCTCATAAAGCATCTCCGGCTGACGTTACTTTAAAATGACGTGACGTTAATGCCACAGCTTGTAAGATATTCATATACATTAAGAAAGAACACTTGAAAAATCCTTTGGCACTAAGTGCACTTTTCGGCTTCTTGCACTACGGAATTACATGTAGTTTCCATTGGTGCTGTAGATTGCTGTTTATCATCATTATATACTATTTCGCCCAAGTCAGCACTTGTCAAAAACATCGTTACTTGAGGTTCACGGCTAAAGCGAAATGTAAAAAACACTGATCACTCTAATTTTTGTCACACATTACATAAATGTATAAATCTGAAATTAAGAGGCAGGAGGGGCTCACCATTATCAAATTCAAAAGTCTGTGGCCCACTTTGACGTAGAACATTGTTTACACTCCTACATGTATGGCCGTGTGACGCGTGACAATCCCGAAATAAGGAAACAGCTAGCCAATGCTAAACCATGTCCTGAAAATTATTATTCGCGTCTTTTGATTAGAAAAGAAAAAAAACCTACACCCAGATTTGATGGAGTGAGTGTGGATCCTGAGAAATGGAGTATTTATAATTTTTTTGAAGACAAGAAGTTGCGATTTTCACAAAGATGAATTAGAAAGGTAAAAAGAATACTTTCTATAAGCCTAAACATAAATGTTATTTTCGCCAATTTTATTTCTGATTAATTCTTAGTTGATATCCATGTTCTCATTCATGTTAATTCTAGATGTTCAAAGAAATGTTTTATTGTAGATCTACGGTTATATATATGTAAATTATTTTCATGATATATTAATTATTATGTTGAGACTATTTATAAGTAAAATTTAGAACTACATGTACTGTCTTTTTAAGTGCCCGTTTTATTTTGTTTACATTGAAAATACATTTTAGAAAAATACCGAATAATTCAATAACATTCAAACTGAAATGAATGAAAACTTGTTGACCTTAAACAATTTATCAGAAAACCCTTTGACCATTAGAGTAGGATAATTAATTATCCAGACACATCACTAATAATCGCGACCCGACTATACACCCATTCTCAATATAAGGGCACAAATGCGTCTCTGATTTTTTAAAAAATGAAATTCAAGATAACAATTTTTCTATCAATTACCTTTGAAAGAAAGTATCTGAAGATTTTGTTTCCAGATTTTTTTTCATCAAATTATAATACATGGAATAATGACAAGACGATAAAGTAGAGGGTGATTTTATTCAGAAATGTAGCTTGAAATGTACGTTACTCTTTCTTCAATGTCTAAAAAAATATGTCAAAAAAAATGTAGTCATTAAAATCACAATTGGAATATCTCATCTTAACACCGGCACATCCTACCAACTCTGTCAGCAACATATTTTCTCGGCATACGAACGTGCGTTTGATTTTTCCTTTCAAAAAACAAAGGTTACTTTTTGATCCAGATGTATAAAAACATTTTTTAAATATATGCTTTAAATTCTTCTCTCTGTTTTGTTAAGAGCGATCAGTTTGGAATCTTTTCATTTTTAATAGATACTAGAACCTAACATGCACATGTAGTAAAATTCTATTTTGTAGTTTCTGTCTTTTTTAACATTTATCCATGCCGATTTAGAAAACTATGTAAATGTAACGTACATTTCAAGATATATTTCTGTTTAATAAAAAGCTTAAAATTCATCTAAAATTCCTTTAAAAATTCATCGTTTTGTTTCAGTTTATTCCAAAAAAGATTCTCTATGTAATTACATTGTGTTATATGTAACAATCACCACTATAAAGACACGATTGTCTCAGAATATGAGTAGGTAACGTACATTTCAAGCTTGCAATAATATGTAAATTAGTAATAAGAAAATATTGAAAAAAAAGCAATTATTGACATAAAAAATCATATCAATGAAGCGTTTTAAGGCAGTAATATAAGAAATCATAATGTAACAAACGAGGTTATTGTCATCAACTACATGACTGTCACGTCATTTCGGTAACGTTCATTTCACACATAATTGGGGAGTCCCCTCCACCTGAGTTCATTACCATTCTTTTGTGCTGTTTCGCTGAAATTGAGACCGGTCGTAGCCTAGTTACTTCTAACTGTGTGCAAGGGTACAGACAAATAAAAATACAAGAGTCAGATTTATTTTGCTATGATCTAACAATTGTTCGTGTTTGGTCATTGACACTTAACATAAATCTATTCCGAATATATCCATCGACAGTCTTGTTAACAATTTCATTTAGTATGTTGCAACATCGTTTTTCAAAACACAAACATATGTGCTTTTCAGCAGATCTGGAAAAATATAACCCAAAATACAATTATTCAAACAAAACTGAGTGTATAGTATTTGAAGTGTACGTGACCGTCTTGTGTTCTGGGTTTATTTGTTTTGTTTTGTTTTTTTTGACCAATTATAAGCCTATGCATACCTTGTTTTAAATTATCAACAACAAATCAATTAATATTGACGAAAAGTCGCATATGAAAAGTAAACAAACTGCAAAAAGGTTGCCAAAGATGAATTTAAGACACTTAGAAATAAATTTTCTAGCATGTGGTAACAGTTTAAAACATTTACGAGGATTGGGGGTGCATTTAGATGGATTTATGTGGCCAGTTGTCAAATGGATTGTAACAATAATTTTGTTTCGCTCGTGTAAACGCAATTCACTGACTAAATTTAAAAAAAATGTCAGTTAGAAATACATGAAATGTACGTTACCATACGTAACATACATTTCAAATATGAAAATCAATTCTCTTCCACAAGCATACGTTAGACACGCAATATATTGATACTATTTGAACCTGCATATCATAAGAAATGCATCATACAGGTTTCGTATTCAGAAATATATACCAGGTATCAAAATTATATTACATAATAATTGACCTTAATATATTTTTTTCCTCAGCAGAGACGTTTCTTTTCATTAATTTTGGGATTTAGCCGACCTCCAACCTTTGAAACTTTCCTTTGTGTACACATTCGGGTGTGTGACAGTATTAGAATACATGAAAATTCGTTCGAGATTCACTTAATTGGAATTTCATGGTAACGTACATTTCAGTCACGTACATTTCAAACGATCACTTTTCATTAAAAAAAATATTTTTAATTGTGTTAAGCAAAACGTCTTTGCCAGTTTACAGGATACAAGGGGTTGCTTATTCAGAGTCGTCTCATATTTTCTACTTAATATGTATTCTTAATGGAAGAATATAGGTAACGTACATTTCTTTCTTATCTCTACGATTGAAAATGTCTTTCATTCCGTAAACTTATTTATAAAAGTTGCTCAAGGTGTTCAATTTCATGTTACATTATCTAAGTAGGAGTAATTAATCCTTTGAAATTTCAAATTTAGCTCATCAATAAGTAAAGGAGAACAAAACTATCAGGTGTATAATCTTTGTGTTTGCTTGTAATGTGGTTGAAATAGAATTAAGCGACAGGGACATTGCACAATAAAAATTATTTATTATCACAAAGAAAATGTATTTATTGTTATGAAAAGAAATATATATGATACAAGGTTTAACTTATCAGAAAATTTTTACTTGAGAATGAAAACTATATATTACACAGAGGGGATTCAGAATAATATTTGCCTCGGCGACAGTAACGTACATTTCAAATAGGCTACTATATTTGAATTTGGAACTCCTTAAATACCCTTTCAGATCGATAATTATTTGAATTCTTATTCATTGTTATATGACTATTTATAATGTTGATTTAAAAATTACATCAGTGGAATTTCTTTTAAATGAAGATGAGGCGACATTATTTGAGCCCTTATATTGAGAATGGGTGTTTAGCCCCATCGGGCAAACCAAGTTACGAAGGTATATCACTGACAGAAGAATGCTAGGGTAAGGTCTGAAAGCTTATTAATACATGTGGTATACACCTGTATATCGAATATTATCATTCGGAATGCATTCTTCATATACAATGATTATTTTTCTTTAAATTCTGCTGATAGAACTTAACGATTTCATCCATCTGGGAAATGTGATTGACAGTTAAGCGTCAACTATATGCCCTTCGTTCCGATTCGTTAACCATACACACATCAGAAGTTTTGACATAAAAATCGGATGTCGATTCCCCTCCGTAACATTACGGCAACCATGTATCTGGGGACCATTACAACGACGCTCATTGTGTAAGTATATAATGATTGAACATTGTATTGTTCATTTAACTATTTTTGTTATGCAATTTTTAGTTTTCCTATAGCTTTTTAAAAATTTTTCTATTCTTCACACCTAATTTTAGTCTACTGTAGATTTGCATTTCTGAGTTCTGGTGTTCCATGCATAAAACTTTCATTTTTCTTTTTTAATTATACATGTATAATTTAAAATACGAAAAGATAACAAAGGAACATTTATAAAAGATCCACTTGCGAAATAAAAAAAATATCTGAAAATAAAAAAGAATGCAATTTCACAAATGATTTTGACATATATGATATAGAAGCTTAATAGTTTATGAATAATTTCCAATGCTGGAAATGATCACACCATAAGATTTTTTTCATATTAAACTCCAGGGTCTTGTATATTTAGTACAGTGTATATGTACGTTCTTGAAACTATTTTATTTAAAAGTTATAACATACTCTACATAAGCTGTTGATTTTTAATAGTGATAAAACAGGAAGTTTTTATTGTAGAAATTACTCTATATAGCACAGTTAGTTCACGAAATCTCATGGTCAGTATTGGTCTCTTAAAAATTAAAGAAAAAAAATACTTGCAGGAGGAAAACGACATTCTTCCAATCTAGAAAAATCAATCTATGAATAAAATAACACATTCCAAAAATTAGAAGAAGTATACTATTCATCGCGTTTTTCACCTGTCCCTCTACTCATCAAAATAAATAATTAATGTTCAATTAACTTCCGGAGGTATGTACAAAGTAATGAGCCAAAGGATAGTAAACACAAACATTACTTGTGGTTAATGTAGGAGACGCGGAAGAAACACCAATTTTCTTTTCATTTCTTGTCAAACACACTTGTTAAACGTTAACATTCACTATAGAGAGCAAAGGTCTTATTAGTTGTCCTTGCTGCACAACAGTGTGAGGTAATGTTTTATGATAGCATGTCTTTAATGAGTAAGTGGCCATGATCACTTATTTTTTTCTTCATTTTTTTTAATTTTCAGTGCCGAACAAGAAAAGCATAACCATTCTTTTCTTTTTGATTTATTACCTATTTTTCACATATGTTTTAACATAGCCCATAAATCACTGTACGCCTTTAAAGTTTTTCGTGTGCATGAATTGACTTTAATTCATATTGTTCTTGAAGTTCTACAGATTTCTAATGTAATATTAAGACAAAATAAAATAGGTAATTAGATGTGGTTTATACACTTGATTTACTGCGATCATAAATCAAAAGGTTTCAAGGTTTTATCAAAGTCAAACGAAATCGATTAAGAAATAAATTTTTGAAATTAATAATTCAGTTTTGTAAAGTTTTCGATGTTGAAGTACGGCACTGTAATAAATTCCTTGAATAAAAGTCGATATTTCAAATAATAAAAGTTATTTTCGCAATGTGAAAATAACAACCTGAAGAATACATATATATGCAAAAATTCATACTGTATCACATTTTATTAAATTAAAAAGTTCTTTTTATGAAGTAAATTGAGTAAAATCTAGGCCGTTTCAATAATAAACTTTTTATCTTTGCATTATCCTTGTAGTCTTGAATTTATCTCACAATATGTTTTGAGTTTCAATAGAAAGACAGCCACATTGAAAATCATCTTCAAAGCCAGTGTTTTACGATACTTGACTTATAAAGATGAGCTAATGGAGACAAAAAGAAAAAAAAATGAAATTTTAAAATGTAATAGACTTATTTAAATTAAGGTTTTAAAGTTGGATATGGAATTAATTTTACTCTTGTGACTGACAGGATTTTTTCGAGGTCATGCAAACCGGGACCTACTTTAGTCATTGACATTAATCATAAGAATGTTAGCAGTATAAAGTAGAAGAACCAAGTCAAAATTACATGATTTTGTTTTACTGAAACATGTCTGGTAACAATGTTACCAATAAAAGCTTAACGATAGACGGAATTAATACACAAAGAGAGAACTAATTACTACAACATTGAATCCACATTGAGTGGCTATTGTTAGAACAATAAACATAATTTTTGAAGTTAATAAAATATTTTTTTCAGTATAAAAGAAAGAAATGACACCCCCACTGCATTACTAGTTCTTCAAAAATGGGGCATCTTAATCATAAATCAGCCCTTTTGGATAATTACAAACAGAAACATTGGATATTTAATATATTTATTTCAATTTTCAAATGTAGAGATTAACTAATATGCATTACCAACAAATGTTTGTATAGAGCAGAATTTTCTGATATTCAAACAGAATCAAAAGGTCCTTGATATTACCGAATACTTGATTTGGCCTGTTTAAAAGGCTGTTAGTCCAGGCAAAGCGTAATCGAAAATAATATGAATGAACGTTCCTATATCAATATCCTTGTATGTGCTTTTAAAATAATTTATCACTTTTAGGAAAATAATTTTCAAACAATTGAAAAAAGCTTATATATTTCCATCTCTTAAGAAAGACCAATTTAATAGTAATTAGGGGCCAGTTTTCCCCCCTTTTTTTTTTTAAATTATGGTGAGAATGACTTTTAATACATAAAACGAATTTATAAATATATATTTATATATCTATAAATACCAAGCTGTTTTAAAACAGACTACTCTATCTGGCATTGTTAAAAGTACTGAAGTTGGTAAAATGTACTGTATAATTTTCCATATATTTCATTTCTGTGCTTTTACAACCGGATTTTATAAATTATAGAATGAAAGTATAATTTTTTAACTTCAGTCTTTTATGAATCTAGTTGAAATCTTTTAAAATTGTTACCAAGTTAATTATGTAACAGATCCCAAATGATAATGTATTAAAAAGCTTTCATTGACTTTATGTACAATTGGTGGTGTACCGCAAGTGTCAGGACTAGGGACACTTTTATTTTTAGTTTACAAAAACGATTATGCAAACGTTATCATTCTGTAGATTGCACTCTGATAACAATTCATTACAACATCTTAAAATAATTAAAATTGGCTTGAAACGACATGATTTTAACGGGGCACAATCAGAATCTATGGTAATTTTAACAGTTTATTTGAAGATATAGTTTCCAAACACTACAAAGATTTTGTCATAAGAATCTCAAGCACCTTTTATATATCAATTGTAAGAAATTATAGCACATGATGCTACAATTACTGGCCTGCTATTAAATGCTCAACATCATATGATATGAACTGCTTTATTTTTTTAGCAGTTCATAGATCTGAAAATGAAACAAGAAAATTAAAATACGACTAATGGGAGAGGAACTAAGAACTTGTTTCTAATTCTTTCGTGTATCACAATATAATCTAAACACGTAAATATGTATAAAAAAGAACACGAAAAAATATAACACAAAATTTTTTTCCATTCGTGAAAAAAAATTATGCATTATAACAAAATATTGAATACCCTTATCCACCATCGTCTGCAATAGCCAGTTGTTTATTTAACACATTAATTTTCATAGTTAAATTTGTTGCAGTGGAAACAATGAAGTACCATGTCCCCCTTTCTCTCTCTCTCTCTCTCTCGTTTGACCAATAAATTGAATACAGTCTAATAAAATTGACTAACACCTAATACTTTACTATTTACACAATATTCAGTCATTGCCTCTATCAATCTGCATTAAGCATTTTATGTACTCCAGGTAACCGATCGTCCACATGAAAACAATTAAATTATTCTCATTCATTTCGATCACACCAGAAACGTTTGAAGAATTAGAACATAAAATTGAACAGAATTGTACGTCATATATTGATAGATGGCCGTGACAACAAACTGATCGACAGAAAGAATTCGGAGCAATGGTACACTACAACCCGGAAAATACAGAAAACATTAAAAATGAATGGATAATTTTGACAAATTAGTATCACACACGAACAGATTGTAAATAAAGTCTGCTTCCTTGATTTTATTTAAACGACCTCATTGCAAGGACGGAGAGTTTAGAAAAATTCCCACGAATTCTAAGTCAGTGTTAAAAAGTTCTTACTGAAAGGAGGTGAAGATTTTGTACAGTATAAATATTAACCTTTAACTCTGGGTGACCATATTTTTATCTGTCATATCAATACATGTATCTAAACAAACGATATCAATAGTAACAAATAAAAAAACGTCATTAAAAATAGCAAAGGATCTTATTGAAAAAGTTTACATAACGAACAGTGTTCAATCTTAAAAAATAACTACAAATGAGAAAATATGTGAACAGGACATTTAAACAATAAAATGCTTTCTTTGTTTGTTATTACTGGAATTAACGGAAGCAGCTGTTGCAGAAAAAATACACAACCCGCGTAAGCGGGTTGTGTAATTTTTTTCTGCAATAGCTGCGACCGTTAATTCCAGTAATAACAAACAAAGAAAGACATTTTATTGTTTATATTTATATCTGTTTAAATAATCATTTAAAGTTGGATTAAAAAGATTAATTATTGTTCTAATGATGCGAACGTCTTTTTATGTTTCATTGATGGAACAACCACTGATCAAGAAATATGTACAGGCGACATGCCTAATGTAGTTCATGCAGTTATTAACGCAATGGGTTTTCTTAAGAAATAAAGGAGAAAATATTCAGTGGATGTAAAAATAAAACAATGAACCCCCGAATATCCGAAGGTGGGATCAGGTGCCTATAGAAGAGTAAGCATCCCTTGTCGACCGGTCACACCGACCGTGGACCCTGTGTATTGATCAGATAGACGGAGTAATCCTTAGTCAAATTTAGTATTAACAATTATTAGTATGAAGTAAGTCAGTAAAAATACAACCCAAAGATAGAATGTATTTGCTTACAAGGTCATTATAATGACCATATAATTTACGAAATGTTGACTTTAAACGAAGTTATTGAAATCCCTGTAAAGTCAGCTTATCTAGCAGAACCCTGCTTCGGTTTAAATATTGTTCATACTCTGAAAACAACGATATATTCTTTGACCTTAATGATTCTACCTTAAGCTACTGTATCAAACAAACAAAAATTGTTCCTCTTACACTGAAATGCCTCTAACTATATATTTAAATTATCACAGGTGTGGTATGTGAACTCCACCCAACGGCTCCGAAGTTCCCACTTTGAAATAAATATTCTTATCGCGAAACGGCAAAAATAATTTGCATTGATGAATACGTCTTCAAACCATTGCATTTAAAGTGCTTTTCAAAGAATGATGCATGCCATATTCATAATTACATTAAATATTCACAAATTCCGAGATTTATTTTCTTGAAATAATTGAACACATGATTCTCAATATATTAATTTGCATATAACCTATATACGAGTATTTAGACAATTTTTGTTTTTGCTATTTTTTTTGTTTGTAAACTAAATTAATAAATTGACTTCGAAGAGATTGGTGCATGTGGGAATTCATATCCCAATCCCGGAATTTAAGCCTACCGGTCATAAGGCCATTTAACTAAGCCACACAGACACAAACATTTCTAGAAGGAAGAAAATCAGTTTAGGGGAGTCTATTAGTTAATACCAGGAAACCACTGAGGTTTTGAGAGGACATTTAGATCGCAACAAGACGAATGAGTAGCCATCGATAACCGGTACACACCACACCTGATATTCATCAATGTAAGAATGTATGATGTCATTAGTCACTTAATTACTTCAGAAACCTTCAAAACACTTTCTTGTTTAAACCATACGTACTACACAATTGCATATAATGCTCGAGTCCAGTTAATAGTGCATAAAAATAATAAAAAGCTCGTAATCCATGAGCTAAAATATAGTACTGATCGAAATAATAAATGTATTTATCACGAAGAACAAACAAACATATTAAACTTATTTACATGTACATAAAAATGACAAAGCGAATACCTCCCAATTAAATGTCATCAGTAAATAATAATCTAAGGTGAATTTACCTTTGAAGGTGTGAAGGTCACTGGGTTTAAAAATATCTTTATTAAACAGGATTAATTGAAAAAAAAAAACAGGCTTGCACCAACATAAATTACAAGTCTCGTAGAAATGTTCTTCTCTTTAAATAATTCCAGGAAATGTGTTAATAATAGTTGGTTTCATTTCAGGATCCTGCTGGTAGAATGCATCTCTGGACAGTCTGTCTCACTCTTTCCCTATACGAATGGAAATATACCATATAGAAGAACACAAAGAAGATTTATAAACAATGTTTCCGCTAATTTTGCACGAAGGCAAAATACCCGTTTTCCACAGTTTACAAACAGAATGACTTTAGGTAAATATTTGAACTACATTCTTCGTAACAGTGAAATTGAAAATTTTTCATCCACAGAAACTTTTATGTTGATAAATTAATTTTTTAGTTTTCAGCTCCTCTGTATTTTGCATCAGCATTATTTGTAAATAATATTCAGCTGTTGCGGCTCCTGTTTGATTTGAAATGTTTTTTTGACAGACCCATGGTGGCCTTATTCATCAAGACAAAGCGCCATTCGTGAGGTAGAAAGGCTTCAACGCATCATACAAGAAGCACGGAAGAACAGACCTGTTTATGATTACAACGGACCACTGGAAAACTTTCTTCCCCTACCCATAGGAGAAAGATTCAAACCGTCACCTTTCAGAGATAGCAGGGCTAACAAACCCCAACTTCCGGTGGGCCCACTCTCCAATGAAATAAAATACGCAGGGGACTTAATCCGAGCTAAAGCAGCAGCCGGTTACTATGGCGACAAGCCTCTTTTTGATATTTAGTTTCAACTTTGTGGTGACTGTCTACATTCTGCAATCCATTCATTGCATAATATTTATATTAATTTTATGTTAAAGTTGTTGCAGTAAATCGCTGGATCTCCGGTATATTTCGTCGTGTTTCGTTTTCGTTTTTGTTTTGTTTGAAGAGGAACAATATCTTTTCTGACTAATTAAATATTAACATAAAATTTAAATATGATAATTAGAAACTGACAAACATATTTGTTCAATATTATGTATATGTAAATATTAATAATGTGAAGTTCATGTTCTGTGTGCTGAATAGTCGTGTTGCATGTATCATCCTCGTTGGTTTCTAGCCATGGTGTATTTCTTTTTTGTTTGTTTATTTGTTTTCTTGCGCAAGCAGATTCTGTTTATTTATGTATAATTTTTGTTAAAATTTTCATAAAAAACATTAAAGTATAAAATTACATTTTTATCTTCTGAAACTTTTTTTTGATTGTTCAGTACATGCATTTTATTTACAAATGATAACATAATCAAGGGTTATCAATCTAATACCTTGAAAATTCATGACTGTTTGAAAAATTCTTAGATAAAATCTGAAATAAGTAGGCCTGTATACAATGTGTTTACATAAAATCAGTGGAACCACTGCATATAAGATAAGTATTGATTAAAAACTTGTATATTAAATGTTGCATTCTAAGAATATTTTACTTTCTATGTCTTGGAGAAAATCAAGATACAGATGGTTTAGAAAGCTTCTCAAATGTTAGTCAAACTCCTAAGTCAATGGTTGCTACCAATAGAAAGGACTTGTCTCAAATTATTACACCTGTGGATTATGAAAACGTGCACTGTCATGGCCAAAGTTTATTAAAAAAAAACAATAGGGTCAAACTCCGAGTCAAGGTCAAAACTTAGCACCAACTGTCAAAACTTATTGCCAAGGTTTAAGTTTTACCAAATTAGGTCAAACTCTAAGATCCTGGTCAAAGTTGTTGATACCCAAAGGTAGGTCATGACAAAAGAGATACACTTGTGAAATTTGAATTTAAGCCCTAGTACAAAATGTTAAAGAGTTATGGCCAAGATTTAAGTGTTTTAGAACTTGGTCAACTCTAAGGTGAAGGTCCAAAAATATATACATGTATACTCAAAAAAGGTCTAATCACAATGAATGCACTTAAGAAGTTTGGAAGCCCTAGCAGCAACTGTTCAAAAGTAATGACAAAAGTGGGTCAAACTCCAAAGTCAAAAGGCCATATGGTACCCAAAAAAGTCTAGTGAAGGAATACACGTATAAAATATGAAAGCCGTAGCTCACACCATTCAAAATATTGACAATTGTAATTTTTTTAGGTCAGACAGACGGACGGACAAAAACTACATACCTCTTGATCTTCTATAACGAGGGCATAAAATGTGATTCTAGAGCCTTGCAGATTTTCTTTACAGTTTTGACACAGAGCTTGTTAAGCGCAACCCTATAATATTATCAAGTAGTCGTTTTTGTGCCTCGTTCAATAAAGTTTGATGTTTGTCATTTTTTATGTTGTGGTTTCTGGTATTTGGCACTTATATACAGAGAATGGACAATATAAAAATTATGAGAATATGTAAATATATACTCCTTCCACAGATGTGGAATGACAAGGAGAACTGAAGTCATTTCCATAAAATACACAGCTAGACGACAACTGGTTTGGGGATATAGTAACATTTAGCGTTGTCCATATTGGACCCATATGCCTTCATATCTGTGCTATGCAACGATGCATCTTTAAACCAAAATTGTTTCATTGAACCCATTTGTGGCTTGAAACAGCAACACTGAGGAAGAATTAGTTGTTTCAAGCCTGATTTTATCTTTTGTTTTGGATTGATATGTTTTATTTGAAAGGAAGGACAAGGCACATATGTAACAAAGTAGCTATTTAAATTCTGAAGGTCTTGCAAGAAATATATGCATGCTGAAAATTAAATCCGTAACAGTTGTTACAAGTTAAGAAAACAGAAACTCCCTTCCCGAAAAAAAATGTCACAGCATCTATATGATAAACATTTAAAAAGATGTGTTGTGAACATCAAATGTAGTTACTGTATACAGGGTTATTTTCGCCCTGTCTTATTTTCGCCCTTTTGAAGTGAACAATTTTGGCCCGTTTTTAAATTCGCCCAGTCATAGTTCTGTTTAAGAAATTATGAGGTGAATTCGTCCCGTTTTAAATTCGCCCAATCAAGTGGAGGGCGAAAGAAGCGAAAATAAAACGGGGCGAAAATTTCTTTGTTTACAGTATTAAATTAAAGATCAAATTTAAAGTTTAACGTTCTAATAAACCTGTTGGATGTTCTTTAGACAAACTTTTAAGGAATCAAGAGGTGTAGGGAAAAATAGATTATTTGAAAATTTATGAAAAGTAGCTACATAATAAGTAACAATGAAACGATTTGAAATGGCTTAATTGTAGCGTTATAAATGAAACTCTTGCATTCAATTGAAACAAGAAGAAGATAGATTGCATGATCAGTATGTACTGGTCCCTGCTGACAATGCAGGTAACAACTTTGTCTTCGTTTGTAAGGCTCATAATATAAGTTTTATTTTAAAAGAACTTGGATTTAATTCCAAGTATTAATTCAACTTATACTCATAGTTCCATTTCTAAGGAGAAAATTCTTCACAACCATATGTCAGTTTTGATTATTTTTAATATCCCAAATAATCAAAATAAATTTGAATTACCATATCTATATTGGATTCCGAAACTTCACAAAAATCCTTACAAACAAAGATACTGGGTTCCAGTAAATGTTCAACCAACCCTCTTTTTTACTTCTTACTAAGATATTAACAGTAGTGAAGGAGACACTTTAAGAGTACTGTGCAACAGGTGTAAATCAGATGTGAAAACTTAAAAATGCCAAGGAACTTTTTTTGGACAATTTGAAAGCAGAAGTTTTTACCAAAATCAAAAGCTTAAATACTTACCAATTTTAACTTTATACACAACCATTCCCCACGAAAAATTAAAGTCCAGGCTTTTTGATATCCTTGACAGCTGCCTTTTCAATAAAAATGGAACTCGTAAATCTACTTACCTTGTCATTGGTCTTTTGCAAAATTATTTTGTTAAAAACATTCTGGTTGTACACACAAGTAATCTTAAGTTGACATAAAAAGGTGATTGAGTTTCTGAGTGACCAGGTCTTCCAACAATCTATAGGAATTCCCATGGGTTTAATTGCGCCTTGTTATTAACAAACTTATTTTTATATTCATATGAAGCAGAATTTATCAAGAATCTTATACGTGAAAAGAAAAAAAAGACTTGCTGTGGCCTTCAACTCGACATTTCGATATATCGACGACGAATTGTCAACTAACAATCGTAATTTCCATTTTGTCACACGATATATCGTGCTGAAGTTGAGATAAAAGATACCACAAAGTCTGACACATCTGTTTCATATTTAGATATTTTCCTTGAAAAAGACGTTAATGGTAATCTAATAACCAAGCTCTATGATAAACGTTATGACAAACTTTTCAATCGTCAACTGTCTTTACTTATGCAGCAATATACCTTTATCACCTGCATACGGAGTTGATATCTCTCAGTTGATTAGATATGCAAGAGCATCCTCTACGTTTTCTAGGATGTAAATTATTGACAAACAAGTTGATGAAACATGAATATCAGCAGTCTCGTTTAAAGTCATCATTTCATAAGTTCTATGGTCGATACAATGACCTTGTCAGCAAATACAATTTATCATTGAGTCAAATGCTGACTGACGTTTTTCATACCGATTGTTAGTCCATTACTTACATATCCATAAATTTATCTCCATATATTTCATACAGAGGAAGTTACTTTTTGTTAGCAGATTAGGGGTCAATCTCTAAATAACAGAATATCCAAGCCTATCTAAGCCTTAGCGGTACATTACAGAATTTTTTTCCCAAAACTTAAGTCAAATTGTCGCTTAGTTCTTGATACAACCATGTCCATACCAAATATAAATGGGACTTTCACTCATAGTTAAACTTTGCAGTGGATATTACTAGTATTTTAGATAAATTTGGAAGGCTAGGTTAAGTTAAAACATGAGGTTAGTATTCCTTTTTCCTTAGTAAGAAATTCTTGTGTCCAAAATAATGTGCCATGATTGTTAACTTCTTCAAAATCCTCTGATAAGGTTCTCGGTAGGTAATATTGTTTCGGCCTTCATTGAAAGTAAAAAAGAAAACTTCTCAGAGGTATTTTATATGATTCTCCTAACCCGTCTGAAATGTTTTGAAAAATCAAAGGCAAGCGATGAATTTTATCACTACTCGCTTGCAGTTTATGCATCTTAAAGCCACTGTGCACGGCCATAGCATGTCCTTTTTGTCAGAAATCTGTAAATGACAACAGCAAAGAGCATTAGTCAAGAGCTGTCTAGTCAGAATGTCTCCACCAGCGGGAAACACATTGGTTTTAACATGGCTGTATGTCAAAAAATTTTATCTGGGCCATAACTCTGTAATCCTTGATTCAAATTTGTTCAAAATATATATTGACCTGTGATACTGGAGGTTACTGGACACTAAGTTTAAAAATAAAAATGATTATTTTTGGAGAGAAGTGAAAAAAATTAAGTTTGTGTATGTCAGATTCTAATTCACGTGACGTCGAGGTCATAGATTAATAATTATGGATCAAAGACATTAATAACAACTGAGGGCCAAAGAAATTGAATAATGAATAATGGACAAAGATATTACTGATAGAAGGTTCAAAGTACTTTCGTAATAATAGAAGGGTCAAAGTCAATTCAAGGGACAGTCACTGGAAGCAGGTGTCTAGGTGATAAAAAATCACCATGAGTACAATATCAAATTTCTTAGCATTCTCATGTGATTTTTGGTACTGTGAGTGAATATATACGAGTATTGTAATATAAAATTTCATTGAAATTTTATCACGATCATCTTATAAATGGTCTCATACTTGAAAGAGAAAATATTCTTAGTTGTTTTAAAGGTAAGGATCACAGTATGGTGCCCTTTTGAACGCAAAATTAGAAGACCACAATCAAGTATGATGTTAGTAACAAACAACGGCCCCTTTTCCCACTCCTTTGGTTCACTCTGACCTGTATGGAGGTAGATTACAGAATCATATTGGTTATTTTACTGATTCGATGAAATATATGGAGATAACAAACAGTATTTCAAGTTCAAAACCCGTAAAACAATACACATCAGGAGCAGAAAAATCACGCAACTCTTAAACATCAGAGATGGGATTGATGCCATGGAGGGGTGATCATCCCCTGCCCACCGGTCACAACCACCGTGTGCCCCTTGTCAATATTCAGGAATAACGGGAAATCCAGAGTGTAAATAATGGCCTTACAATTAGTATGAAAAACATCAGTGAACGTTTGACTTCATGATAGATTGTATTTGCTGAAAAGGTC